TTGACGTCAATATCCAATAATTATAATCCATATTATTGAACATTGTAAGACAAGTCATCTTGTGAAGCTTTCGTAGTATGTAAGTTTTAATATTAGATTAAGCATTCTCTACTTATCCCTATTCAAATGTGCTCCTTCCAACATTTTTATTTAGTTGGACTTTGAGAATAGCAAAAATAGCAACAAACTTTTACATCTTTGCAGTTTAGTTAGAGTCTTCAAGATTCAAAAGCAAGCATTTACCTTTGCAAAATATGACTTGTCTATTTACTAGAGTGCAATTCTTGTCACCTCTTCATAACTCGAGTTTACTTGAGAAGATAAAAATGAACTCATGCCCACTAATTAGGTTAAAATACCTCAATTCTAAAGGGTACGACGTCTGTGATTTTTTTGAAGTCATGCTCTAAAATGCGACGGAGGCCAACTTTGTTCATTATGTGTTGGAATTTGATTGATACTATCTGAAATAAGCAGTAAAATTGGATATGAGTTCAAAGTAGTGGGAGCGGTCCGATTCAATCGGGTTTTGAAGGGAATCGATTCTAGTACCGTTGGAAAATTTAGAAATTGAATCATTGGTTCTATATCCAACTATAAAACCAAAACTAAACCTACATGTTCCGATTCGATCTGATCTGATTCGATTCTTTAAATTAAAAAAATTAAACAAAGCTACTTTAATTGCAAAAAAAAAAAAAAAAAAATTAAATAAGGCAACAAACAAAAATCTACTCCAAAACTCAAAATTAACTCATAAACATGAAAAAAAAGATAAATTATTAAACACAGCATAAACTATAAAATCTCGATTAAAAAAATTATTTTTAAAGAAAATCCATATAACAATAACATGATTATCTCTAGTAATTCTCAAAGATCTTGAATCTTGATAACTGACCACTTTGAAAATGATGAAAAATTTGAATGCTTATGAAATATTGAACTAAAAATATATTTTTCCTATTGGGTTGTATTAAAACTATGAATTTGCAAAGTATTTATAAAATTATTTATATTTAAATTTTGATTACCCATTAAAGGAAAGAAGAAGAGTGTATGGAAAAAGGAATTTTAATGTGAGATAATTTTTGTGTCTAGTGTTTAAAGATTTGTGCATCTTGATGCAGCAAAAAGATAAATTCGGGAGAATCGAATTCACGATTGATTCTTAATGCAGTACCGAGAATCGGACCGGAACGGAATGAATCGGTTTTCAATGCCTGGCTGCAAAATCAACCCATTTACTAGAGGAATTGGAGCTGAACCGATTGGTTCTATTTGGTTCCAGTCCGATTCCACTAATTTTGAAAAAAAAAAAAAGAAGCCTAGGAACAAGTTAGGTTACAAGAATAAAACCGGATTACAAGTTCATGTCTAATGATGTTTTTGACCATTACTTTCAAATACTTATTGAATTCGTATTTAAATTAAAGTATGAATGACTGTGTGATGTTTTGAAAGTTGATAATAGTTGGTGGGTCATTTTATTTGGTTAAAAAAATTGTGAATTTAATAAAATATGTGATGAATGATGAAGTTTAACCAATTTTGTGGACATTTAAAAACTTTACTAAGCCATATACCAATAGCTAATTCATAGCAACATAAACTGAATTCTCAATCAATTGTAACTACAGGGACCAACTTCCCTATTTCAAAAGGACGAAGGACAGTGTTGACATTAACTGGAACGTGGATGTTTTTTCACTTCGTTTTCTTTTTGGGTCCTTGTTGCTAAGGGCGTATATTGTCACGATGCTAGTTTTCTTACACTAGAACATCTTGACATCGTGCGACCTTAACGTCCATAATTCCCGTCCCTCACGAGAATACGTTAAGTCAGGCTTTCAACGTACCCAAATAATCTAACCAAAGAGACTAAATTACTACAACTTTAAATATTGGATTTGAAATAAAGACAATATGGAAACAAGTAAGATTTGGGGAAAAACTCTTCTTTATAGAAATCACTTTAATCCCATGAATTCTACATATCTTTACAAATGAGACTATATTTATAGGCAAAAACCTAGCAAGTGTCTTGGAACCAATGACCAAGATCAATCTTCATCCAAGAGTTCTCATTGGATTCAAGTGACTTTAAACCTCCTAAGACCATGAAGAAGTAAAGTTGGAATTTGCATCATACAAGTAGCAAGTCTCTACAATTCCCACATGCTCTAGACATGTCACTTTTATAGTGGCAAACTTAGCTTTTGTTTTCTCTTTGCCATTTTCTCTTGTAAGAGGCATAAGTGATCAACTTGAACTAGAATTCCCAAAATATCCAGCTTCTAGCCCATGGTATTTCTCCTTAGAAAACCACTTGGTGTGCTGGAAAAACTGCCCATGTCATGCTCGTGTCAGCTATGTTATGCAGCCTGCAATCTGTATGTTACTGTGCTGCCTGTGTCCTGCCATGACTGCAGCCTGTGTCTGGTCATGTCCGGCTGCGTCCTGGGTGCTGCCTACAATCTGCATGCGATGCCTGCCTGCGTTGTTGCCTGTGTTGCGATGCCTGCCTGCACACCCGAATTTCCTAGACTCGACCTGGACACGAACCTGCCACCATGGACATCAGTCATTTCCCCACCATTTTAGGTGACACCGACACCGCCATGTATCTTTGAAGCTTAGACCTAATTAATCATAGGTCTACTTCATTTTCTCACTTAGTGCCATGACACCCCCATGCCATGATAGATCTCAAGTTATCATCTTGCGATCCGTCACAATACGGTTCCATTTGAATTTGGTTCTAAAATATTCGAATCGAATCATGAACGAATGATTTTTCGATAATAGAATCAATTTTTTTTTTTAAACATGGAACTAAATTGGAATCAAACCATTCAATTTGGTTTTGTTTGGTTCAGTTTCATTGCTGATCGGGGAAAAAAAAAAGAGAACATTTAAGGAAGAAGAACTGAAGGTTGATGCTTCAATTTGGGAATCCATGCAACAGTGATTGCTGAGTACGACGATGGTTATTGGTCTCCTTGTAAGAGTCGGTGTATAAATTGGAAAGGGAAAAAAATGAAAAATGACTTATGGTTTGGGTCCAAAATAAATTAAGGTCTCCCGTCTCCACGTTGAGAAATGAGAAATCGAATGTATATGATCTTTTTGTTTTGATTTTCAATGGAATTTTGATTATTTTTCTTGTGTGAATTGTGATTCACTCATTTGCAAGATAAAAATAAAAAAAATTATAAAATTTAAATATTAAGCCCCTGTTTGAGTTACATTATTTTTTTTATTCTCATTCTTTTACTCATTTTTAACAACACATTTTTCAATAAAATAATATTTTTCATCATATCAATAACCTTTTATTCATTTTCAACCACATATTCACCATCACATCAACTAGAAAAATGCATTCTTAGAGGAAAAATGTGAACCAAACAGGTGCTAAGTTTGATTCTTGTTTCTAGAACTTAAATCGAATGAGAACCAAAACCACAACTAGAACCAAATGATTCGTTCTAAGAATCATAAGCATTAATTTCTTTTGTAGAATCGGACCGCTCAAGTTTCTTTGATTATAGGGTTCGTTTGATTGTAAAAATGAAATTGTATAGAAAGAAAATGAATTTCAAGGAATTTGAATTGCTTAAAACTTGTTTTACTGAGAATTGTCAATTAATTGTATTTGATTGTTATAATTTTTCATTTAAAAAATATTGAATTTTTAGATCTTTTGACATTCGTTTGACTTTATTTTTCGTGAAAATTATCTATTAAAAGGATATAATTTGTTACAATTTGGGATATAATTTATTTCCATTACCAAAAAATAAAAAAAATAAAAAAAGGTTGCATAGAAAAGCTTTTTTAAAAAAACCAAGAAAATGTGGAAAATCAATTCCATGGAAAATTTAGATAATGAAACATGCAAAATGTGGAAATTGAATTTAATTTCCATCTTCCATGGAAAATAATGCCAAATCAAACAGCGCCATAGTTTTTTTGTTGGAAATTTCCATTTGTATAGAAGAAAATATTACAGAAACCTTACACCCTCTCACACGAGAGTGGGTCCAGCGCAATAATAAAGTAAAAAAAGTTATCCACCCACCCGTCCTTTTGAGTATATGTAATGCTTATGTATCTGTGCATGCATCATCTCTCTTTTTTGTCCACCCTATCGGTGTTACAACCCCACACATGTTCTGCAGCTGCCCTTATGAAAAGTTCTTGAGTAATGCTACTTGCAGTCGCTCACTGCAACAGTCGTTCTATGTGACACACACATGACATGTAGTTATTTGATGCATTAATGTGATGGTTTTTGACCACATTTAATGCATCANCATACGCATATGACTTATCCTCTCCCTTGCTCCGTAACGGCGCCCCCACCAGTGACGCGCGGCGGAGGAACGAGCTGAATTGAGCGCTTTCATCTTAAGTCAACTGCCTCGAGAAGGGATTCATCCTTCAGCTATAGGATTAGAGGAGTCCGCTTTCATCCCTTGCTTCCTCTCAAACGGCACGTTCCCTCCTCTTCATCAGGCCAGTCCTTCTCCGAAGTCTGGGATATTTGGGCGGATCTTGCTTGTCCATTTACTTCGTTTTTATCTTTCAGTAGCCCCCTTTTCTTTTCTGAACAAATCGAAGAACCTAATGGATCGAACTCATCCTTGGCCTGCTTCTCTAAGACCAGAGTCAATAGCTGCGGATTCTAATTCAATTGTGACAACAGCTCCCTAAGGGAGGCCTGCTAGAGTAGAGCCCTTCCCCTTTAAGTCAAGGTAAACTGATTCCATGCCATCTCTTTCTTACTTTAGAGCAAGGGAAGAAGTGCTCTCTATAGCCTTTATTTACTATGTGTTAACAAAGTGTGGGCAAAAGGGATATAAGCAGCAGTGGAATCCAGCGGCAGGATAGACACGAAAGCGGGTTTCTATTACTTTTGAAAGTGAAGGGATGAAATCTAGAAATTGAATAGGAGAGGGAGTTGTCTTGCAGAGTCAGCACAATAAACCCCAAAAATGGCATTATTGGGGGACGATGGACGCGGCTACGAGTTGGCTCGGAAGCTTGAAGGCCACGGCGTCTGGCGGTCGTGGCTGGGGGATTCGCTCTACTCAACCTTCATCCACTTTCTCTCTTCGCAGTCATCGTGGGATGCCTTCATGCGAGCTGACGACTCCAAGACCAAGACCCAGATCCAGCTTCAGCTCCGTGCCCGCGCACTCCTCTTCGACAAGGCATCCGCCTCTCTTTTCATCTGTCCTAGTAATCAGTCCTCATTGTCCGCCCCTATCTCAAAGCTCAACCCTAATTGTAAGTTATATATATACATATCTTTGAATCTATGAACTTTCATGCCCAATTCATCCGGTCGAACACGTAGTTAAGTGGAGTTTGTTTTCTTGAAATTTTGTTTCATTTTTGTTTTTGTGTATCTTTTAATTATGGAAAAGATTCTGTCGTACAGAGCTCCAATTAAATTGCATATTTTCAGATGCAAGTTAATTTTTACTTTAGTTTCTCCTATCTTTTTTATTTTTCTGCAACGGCCCATTTTCTGAATGCAAGTTTTATGTTTTAACGTGTATCAGTTGCTTCCTTTTCTTCCTTTCTACCCTGTAGGCTGTGTTTTCATTCGTGTCTCTGTTCTTTCCCCTTAATTTCTATATATGTTTACATGTATTACAGATTTGGAGTTGCATGGTGATGACGTGTATTTCACTTTAGAAAATGGCACACAAGATGCGGATCAACACCAACCAACGGCTATTTCAAATACAACATTATTGAAGGTTTTTCAATTTATAGCTCAGTTCCATTCCCTCGTGCAGTTGTTGCGAGAATGTTAGGACAGTGAATTACTTTACCTTCTTTTACCCATTTAGAAGCCCTAGTATAATTCTAGTGCTTCTTGTGAAGCAAGACGAGAGTGTGATAAAAGTCAAGAATCAACTTCAGTACTGGAGAACGAAAACTAGGAGAGATTGGTAACCTAACTATATTTTGTTTCTCTGTTCTCAGATTTTTAAGGGATAGAAAGGAGACACGTTGATCATGATTTTGTTTTCATTTCCGGAAAATGTCATAATAAGTTAATAACAACAGGAATAGCGAAAAGGAAAACCTGATTTTGTTCTTGTTTAGTTCTTCTTCAGTAACCAGAATTGTCTCCCACTAGCACTCACCTTTTCTGCTTTCCCTTTGGCCCCCATTTTATGTCTTACCATCCATCATAACCAAGTTGAATCTCAATTTATTGTAAGAGTGTACTAGTGCCTCTTTCTAAGAATGTTCTCCTCAATCCAAAATAAATTTGTTTTTCCTTCAGCCAGCACCTTGTCTATTTCACTGCACATATTGTATGTTGCTATTTATTAATTTGAGAACATTGGTTTGCACAATCACGATGATGTCATATCAATTTATATTGCTGTAGAACATGTAGGAGATACTGATTGAGGCAAGAATATCATGAAACGATAAGATTGAAAGTCTGTTCGCAGGAGTTGTAAATTTAGCTTAAGTGGACGTACTTGTAAAGGAGTAGCAATGCAGCATAGATTGGAGGTATTTGGAGTTATTAGGAATGCTTGAAAGTGAGCTGCTTTTATATTTAGGTTTAGTTATTCATGGAAAGAGATATATTTGGAGTTACTCAAATGACTAATGCTGGTTGAATTAAGTGGAGTTTTTCTAGGTTTGTTTTTTCCCTATGATTATTGAATTCTTATTAGATTGGGAGGAAAATTGTACAGGACTGCTATATTATTGCCTGTGTTCTATGGACCACATATTGGACCATGAAGATACGTCTATATAGATTTAGTGTAAATGATACAAACATGATACACTATATTTATGGTTAAACAAAAAGTGTTAGAATAATAAATGGGCGCATATATGAGGTGATTAAAGTAATGCCTATCAAGGATTACGTATGAAGGAACTGAGTGAGTTGGTTTGGGTTTAAAGGAGGCTTGTAGTTGCATTGTTTAAGAAAATTCATGTAATAAGTTGGCCTAAAATCATATGAAATGTTATTCTTGAAAAGGACTTGAAATTTGTGACTTCGTTTTGGTGATGAACTCGATAGAGAGTAGATTGCAAATAGAGGATGTGCGAGCTGATCACATATAAGCATAGTACAATGCTTTGTGAGTTACACATCGAGACAATTAGTTCATGAATTATCCAGCCATCTTGTATTATTTCTTTTTTAAAGGATAGCACAACCTGGAATTTCATCATGAAACACCCATTATTTTCCTAAATGTTTCTATTTGTCTCTTGTTCAGGTGGTTTTGCTCTTCCTTTTCAGTGGCTTTACTAACATGACATAGATGTATTTAACAACACGGTGTGGCGATTCATATGTTATGATTTTTACAGTCTCTTGTTTGCTAATGGGCTGCTCCAAAAGCTCAACTTGATGCGAGGGAGTTATTTTAATTTAATCTGAGTAGTAAGTATGAACTGATAAAAAGAACTATTGAACTATCACTGTAAAAAAGTACAAATTTCATTAATTTCATACAGGTAAATAGGTTCTAACATTTTCAAAGAACAGAGAGAAACAGTTCTTCTGATAGTTTGTGAGCAACAACACTTCCGTCCTGCCTAGGATTTCCTGTGTTAAAAGTGCACCTTCTGTCTCTATATTTTTCTCTCTTCGTAATAAACTTATTTGTGTAACCTGTAATGCTTCACTGTCCTTTCTGCAAGCCTGAAAATTTGACTTCTCGTCATTATCTCTAAGAGAGATCACAGATGTCCTTGAGTGAATGGGAATCTCCAACTATGATTCAATTGCCATATTTAAGATTGCTTTATCTGAAGAATAATATAAGTTCCAGCATCCTCCTACTCTCCTTTTGAGTCATTGTATGACCAGGTTGACGGATAAATGCGATTTTTAAAGCTTTCTTTTGATTTTGTTCAATCAGTGCTCGGTGAATATGAGTTTTGCGGCAAGGTAGGCAACCTGATTAGCTAGCTACACCTATTGGTTCATTAACTTGGAAAACTTCTATGCACTCTGAAAATGTTATTTTCTGCAGTGGACTCTGATGATACTTTCTTTGAGGCTGGATTTAGTAGAGACTTACACAGATATTTCATCTGCACTTCTTTGCCGATGTCATCTCAAACCTGCATACTCATCTTTTAATTGATGCAAACTTTATGCATATTATCTTTATCATAATTTGAATTGCCATAAGAATTTAATTGATGTAAATGTTACTAATATATTCAATACCGGGATTGAGCTTGGTAATTAACGATTATTCAAATCCTGGATCACAAACCTATTTTTTGATCCATTGGTCCTACCGTCCTAGTATCATAGTGATGGAGATAGAACAGAAATAGAAGTTAGAAATATAAAATAAGAGTTCAACTCATATTATGATTGTTTTGATTAGAATAAGAATTTTAGTAGATTTTGATAAAAGTTGATGAAATATGTGGTTGAAAAGTTGTAGGTCTCATAAAATATGTGGTTAAAATTTGTTGACTTTGACTTAAATTAAAATCTGAATTTTAATTTCTACAATGATAAAATTATAGCTTATTAAAAGTTCTTTTAAATTTTGATTAGTTGCTTTATAAATAAAGGGCTTATTCATTTTAATATTCACCCTTGATTATATGAATAAAAATTGATCTGTTCTTGGACCCTCTCTCTTCTTGTTCTTTAATAATTATTACACTCCTAGGTCACATAGGCTACCGAATGACTGACTCATAAATACTGGATTGACATGCTATAATGATTCCATAAACAACTAGTGAAGATATGATAACCAAATAAAGTAGTCTATGTTTGGATTTGACAATATCATACCATAATCAAATGGGGCAGTGGGCTGGACGACCAGAGTTAATGAAATTGTAGCTATTGGAGCCACAGGATCCTTTCTGATTCACTATTCAGGATCCTGTTGAAATGGCAATGGAAAAGAAATATTCATGGGGCTAATGAGTGGCATTGATGTAACAAGGGTTTCTTTGCTGTAAACCCCAAGACTCTTACTTATCGTAACCCTCACTGTCTTGGATACCTTTTCTGATCAGCCTAGTTTGTATTTCTTCCCAGTCATTTATATCAACTTCAAATGCCTTACTATTTTACTTTATGTGATGCATAAAATATAAAGATAACCGTATGAATTTGCTTTCCTTGCTTTTAAGATTTTCTTTTGCATATTCATTTATGCTTATGTTTTTGAAGTAATTGTTCTTATTCATCTCTTCTCATGATGCCGAAATATCTCTCTCTTATTAGTTCTTTTAATGCCAGTAATTTTTATGCCCATCTGACATTATTGTTGCATCTTAAAGGCTCAATCCAAAGCAGGTCTTGGTGCTGGATCAAGATTTAGTGAGTTAGAAGTTGATGCTGTGCCCCAAAGGTTTAAGCTTGAAGAGTTGCCAGAAACATGGTATGGTCAGTTCTATAAGAAATACAGAGCAAGTAAATCATATAAGTTATTGTTTGGGGATCGAGAGTCTGAAAAACGGACGCCTGAGCAGATGCGTACATATCTTAAAGTTCTTGAGAATCACAAGAGGAGGAGAATAGCTTTTAAGGAAGATAAGAACTTGAGTTTTGCAAATCCCATGTCGGAAAATGTATCAAATCTGCGATCAAACTCAGTTGTAGATATCAGTAGTGCTGTCGATGAAATGCCATTTTTCCCGGAAACAATGTTTACTTTAAATTGTGTCCCAGATAGTGCAGTCTTGCAAACAACTGTACTGGAGAACAATCAGAAAGTGGAGTTCAATGGGGTTCTGGATAACTTACCCCAGATGATGACCAAGAGCCCTGTTATCAGCCCTATTATGATAGAGAGGCTTGGTATCCGTCCAGAATACCTAAACATAGAACAGGGAGGAAGTCAAAGTCGTGGAAAGCATGGATATCAAGGGAGCAGAAAACTTCTTGGTCAAGAACAAGCATCACAGATGTCGCAACAGGTGGTAGCACGGTTACTAACGAGTGTGGGATTTGACGCTTCTTCAGAAGTTCCTTTGGAAGTTTTGGCACAATTTTTGAGTTGTCACATCGGTAAATTAGGTCGTGCTTTAAAACTCCTAGCTGACAGTTACAGAAAACAGTGTTCAGCATTGGAGTTACTGAAGATGTTCCTTAAAACAGCTGGATATAGGTCAGTGATTGACCGTTTATGTTGTATTCTTGTAGTGTTTTGATTTGCCTTTTGTGGCTGCTCATATTCCTATAGGATCATTTTCTAATGAAATCTACAGTGTGGGGGTGAATGGATAGCTGGGTTACATGACACAATTCTAAGGTTCACAGATGGGACTTTACCATTGGTAATGGCCCACCTATCCACCCACCCACCTACCTACCTGCCTGGCTGGCTGGCTGTCTGTCTATCTATCTGGCTTCATTAAGTTCTGCATGTTCACTTTGTAAATTTGTTGTGGACAACGATTTTTTTTTCTGAGGTGTTTTAATTTGTTTTCCAGTCTTCCTCTATGGATGAAGATTGTTTCAGGAGAAATTTTCACTGTTTGTAGCCATCTGTTCTAGTTTTCGTAGAATTAATTTTTTTATACCTATTTTCTGTATCAGCTTGTATCATCTTTGACTATCTAACATGTTTCCCCATTAATCACCAGTAACCTTGGGACTTTATCTGAGCTTGTAAAGGATAATACGAGGAGTATTATTCAACAAAGTCATGCCCAAGTACCAGGAATGCAGTCACAGTTGCAACCACAGCATCAAGCTCCCATTCAGCAGTCTCAGCAAGTATATAATTTTATTTCTCTTTTCTTGCTATTTGTAATGTATATTTCTGTAGCTCTAGTTCAAGTTTTCGTGCTGTACTGTACTCATTTCAGCATTTTACGGACCAAATAATCTGTTCAATAAGTAAAGCCCAGTTTCACTCAGAATTGCCTGGATAAAATGGCTTTTCCAGGAAATCTTGTTCTCTAGAAGAGAACGTTAATTCTTGTAACCAGGAAAATCTTTTTCAACTAATTCCTAGAATCCTCTTTCTCCTCTCTCAACAAATGAAAGTCTATTCTAGGAGGAAAATGGAAATAAAAGAAGGCTCCTCTCCCCCTCCCTCTCTTTTAGGCAAGTCACTGGTGCTTGCTCTGCGCTTCCAAACTAGATCTTCTTCACCTTCTCCATTCTTCCAGCCATTCCTACCCACAGCTACCTCTTACCCCTTCCACGCATAATAACCATTCCCATTTCCTCCCATTAAAGTGTCTGGCTGTCACCACTTTCATATTGGCTAGCCCCTAATCGTTCAAATTTACATACTTTCCTTTTCCACTTCATCTGTCTCCATTATTCATAGGCCACCACCATCCCCATCCTCTCTTCTTTGCCCCTGCCTTGTCCTACAGGAAGCTAAGTTTTAAATTGTTCTCTCCTTATTATTTGAAAGATTTGAGTTTTGATTTTGTCATGGCGATTTGATGTTTTGAGTGACTCCATACCTAAAGAAATTTTAGCATGTTTGATATGATTATGAGTTAGTAGTTTTTGAGGTACTCCTGGATTATTTTTGCTTAAATAATCTTTATTTTTGGTTTTTAACCATGAATATGAGTTCTGGATGGTGGTTGTTCAAGGGTCAGGTGGTGTAGTTGCGTCAGATTTTGATTATGTTGAAAGAATATTATTGATGCATCTTTTTATGCTTTAACTAATATTTGAAGGGAAATGGACCTTACTCGTTGATTCAATGCACGATCAGATTCTAGGCTACCTGTTCATCCCGTGGGACATGATAGTCATGCCGGGTGTCCATCCCCCACTTGAATAGTGAATTGTGCACAATAGGATGTAGGAGAAAACTTCTGTCACATGTAAAACAGGATTGACGTAAAGATTTATAGAATATTCTGGCTGAAGTAAAGAAACTAGTCAAAACTTAGGCTTTTAAGATGCGTTGTATTTTACTTTTACCCCAGTTTCTGTTTCAGCGTCGGGAGTATTTTTGTTGAATATGATGTTTATGTCAATTTGCTTCTGTTATAATTCAGATTCCAAGACAAATGAATGCACAGATGCAGCAAATGAATAATACCCAGTATCTAGCTTTTCAACAACAGCAGCAGTGGGAGAGGTTGAGAAGACAACAACAGTTGACAGCTCGTCCTTCCATAAATTCGAATATGAATATAGAAAATGACAGACCTATGGTCCAAGTGAAGATGGAGAATCCTTCTGATTTTCCATTGGATAATAATGCCTTCACAGCAATGAATGCCAGAAACCCCCAGGTGCATCAGTTGAGGCAGCAACAACTTGCTGCAATATCTACTCTCCGTGCTCAAGCCAACAATGCGTTTAGGCCTATGAATTCTCTTCAAATTCCACAAATCCAGTCCCCGTAAGGAACTCTATGAATTAGATTTGATTCATACTTTTTTCTCTTATTGTTAGTACTTTCAGGGTCATATGAAGTGAATTTTATTGATGAATATGCATTTTTATGTGTATCTAATATTTATTGCTTTAAGCAGGAACACTGGAATGGTTAGGGCTCAACCTGTGAAGGTTGAAGGCTTTCAGGAATTGATGAGTGGAGATGCTTCCATGAAGCACGATTCGGAAGAAAATAAGTTAATTTCTCCTCCAAAGTAATATGCAGTAGATGTCTAACAGTTGATCTCTATAGAATCTTCCGGATTGGATTCAATAGGTACCCTAGTTCATATGTTTACAGTTCTGTTACGAATTCGTCCCTTTTTTATGTAAAATCATCTATTCTGGTATGGATGTAAATGCACATGGACAACAAGTTAAATGGAGTAAAGCTTTTGAATGAAATCTGTTCTTTCTAATCTATTATTTTCTTGATTTTTAAAGAAGCATTTAGGGTCCGTTTGATTGCAAATGTGGAAAATAGGTGGAAAGAAAATGTTTTACAGTGAATTGATTTGCTTAGAAATTGTTTTACTGGGAACTACAAATGTTTGGCTTCGTTTTTTTTAATGAAAATTGTCCATTAAAGCGATAATGTTTTCTACAATTGGGTCTAGAATTTGTTCCAATTGCAAAAAAAAAAAAAAAATTGAAAAAAAAATTATCATACCAAATATAATTCGTTTGGCTTTGTTTTACATGTAAATTGTCAATAAAAGTGAATTTTTTTTTACCATTATATCTAGACTTTTTTCCAATTG